TCACAACACACACTGGCCCAGCTAACCAATCACAGCACACACTGGCCCAGCTGACCAATCACAGCGCACACTGGCCCAGCTAACCAATCACAGCGCACACTGGCCCAGCTAACCAATCACAGCGCACACTGGCCCAGCTAACCAATCACAGCGCACACTGGCCCAGCTAACCAATCACAGCGCACACTGGCCCAGCTAACCAATCACAGCGCACACTGGCCCAGCTAACCAATCACAGCACACACTGGCCCAGCTAACCAATCACAGCACAGTTCGTATTTCAGAAGGCGGGCCTTCATTTGATACAGGAACTATTCGAGCTGTTCATGCCAGACTGGGGAGAGAGGTGTTGTAATAATGTAAAATATGTGAAAAATAATGTGTATATATAATGTTATCGAACAAAATAATGTTTCGAACAACCTAGTATGAGAGCCTGTTCTAGTACACCCCCAAAACAAAATCAAGACTTTGTAAAAAAAAACATAATAGGACCCCTTTAATATTTTGGCTTTCTTCTCTACCTTGAGAGTTGGCCTGCAAGAGTCCAATACTGTCATCAAACAGCATGGACTTGATGTTGAGAGAGGCCAGAATACACTCCTTATCCTGCAGAGAGGCGTCGTCGATGTTGTTCTGATTGGCCGACAGGATGACGCACATGTCACACAAGTTGATGTTGACGGCTCTCAGATCGGCCCGACTCAGTGGAGTCCCCTAAACAGGAGACACACGTCAGAAACGTGACGCTGAAACGCCACACTGTAAAAATACATCCGGAAAATTACACAGCTTTTATTATCCACTAATTTTACAGACATTTCTGTTAACTCCAAAACTTTAAAACACTGGTAGAACACCTGTAAAAACAGATTACTGCTCTTGAGGAATGGGCCAAAATACCAGCAACCGTGTGTGAAAACCTTGTGAAGACTTACAGAAAATGTTTGACCTCTGTCATTGCCAACAAAGTGTATATAACAAAGTATTGAGATGAAATTTTGTTATTGACCAAATACTTATTTTCCACCTTAATTTGCAAATAAATTCTTTAAAAATCCTACAATGTGATTTTCTGGATTTTTTTTTCTCATTTTGTCTCTCATAGTTGAGGTATACCTATGATGAAAATTACAGGCCTCTCTCATCTTTTTAAGTGGGAGAACTTGCACAATTGGTGGCTGACTAAATACTTTTTTCCCCCACTGTATATACAGTATATTGTGCCCTATCTTTACAGATTTTTTAGAGTGCATCACGGGTTAAACAGAGACTGCCGTCCGCTCACGGGTAAGATGGAGACTTTGGGGAAGTTGTGTAGCGTCTCCCACTCTCTCTTCAGATACTCCAGAGAGCCCACGAACACGATGGGCTTCAGCTCGTGATAGTGGAAGTTACTGGCTCTCAGAGGCATCACCAGGTTACGCAGACCGATCAGAGCCGACTTCACATCGCCGAATATACAAACCACCACGTGACCGCTCAAAACCGTCATCGCCGCCTCGCTGCGAGTCTGAGAGAGAAATACAGACCAATACATCACTGACTGACCTTTACTGACCCTCAAGCTAGTCACAAACACTAGTCTGACACTGTGCTATTACTGTGAACTACAACTATTAAAAAACATTTACATTATTTGAAATAAAATCAATGTTAACTGAAATAAAATGTTAAAAACTTTGTTTCATTATTTATATAGAATTAGAAATTTTATGTAATTTATAAATTGACAAATTCTACGCAATTTGTCCAATTTATATAGAAATATTTATTTATATTTATGTTAATTTAAGTTGAAAATAACCTAACAAAAACTGAAAAATAAAATAAAACGATACATTTTTTGAAATTTAAAATAAGTAATAAAACTGACAAAAACACAACAAAATTATTAAAACTTTCAGTTATACTAAGTAAATATTTCGGTTAGTTGCGAGGCAATATTTCACATTTTCGTTTTGATTAAGTTGAGGAATTAAAATATCTAATCTAAAAAGGAAATAAAAAGAATAAAAATTAAATAGATATATAAAAAAACTGACAAAAACACAAAACAAATTTACTGCGACTACTTTCGGTTATACTTTAAATAAATATTTCAGTTATCAAATCAATATTTTGAGTACTACAAAGACTAAAAATACAAGTAAAAATAATGAAACACAAACTGACATAAAAAAAACTAAATAAACATTTTAAAGTAATAAAATGGACAAAAAACTACTTTTATTTGAAAGTCTAACTGAATATCTAGTATATTTTAGTTAATTGCCAAGGCAACATTTTACATTTTTGTTTAAGTTAAAGTACTAAAATGAGTAAAACTAAAAATAATGAAACTAAAACAGACATTTTAAACAACAAACTAAATCTGATGCAAAAAGACAAACAAGACAACAAAATCACTAAAACTACTTTTAGTTGTACTTTAAATTATACTTTATATAATAATACTTTTAAGTACTAAAATTACTAAAACTACATTTAAAACTGAAATAAGAATGAAAAATAAAATAAAACAATTATATTAAAACAGACAAAAACGCAACAAAATTACTATTTCAAATAGTTTAATTACTAAAATGACTAAAACTAACTAAAATAAAAATTTACCAAAAGTAAAAATTAAAATGGAAAATAAAATAAATGAAGTGAAAACGAATTCAAAATGATAATAACTACTGTAATACTATATGTAAATACGATAATATCTCAGTTCTGTTGTGTAACGCAGTGAATGTCTCTTACCAGCATGACCTTCTCGATGTCTTTTGATGGACACCAGTGAAACATTCCTGTCGAATCATATTTCTTTATGTTCTCATCCATTGTTTCCATTTGATCGTGTCCAGGGACCAACAACGGGTCGTGCCTGAAATCAACAAACCACAAAAACATGGACAAACTTGAGCGTTTCACTTCCAACAACAGCGAGATCGATGACTTTATAACCCAGACGTTTGCAGGGAATGAATTGGATGCTGGGAAGCAGGGCTGCTGTTACAGGACGTGATTGAGAGCAGGAGCTCAGGGTCTCGGGGACGTTTGATTGGCCCATTAGAGGGGTGAAGGTTTCAGCATTCTGTCAGAGAGCATTTCCATCCATCAGCCGCAGCTGCTGTTATGACTTTATTTTCAATCATTAGGCCATTAGAGCTGCAGACGCTCTCCTCACTTCATCCGGCTCGCTGTCCATCAAATTTAATGCGTAGAATGACAGCAAAACCACACGGTCAGCAGCGCACCTCGCTGCGCCAGACGCCCGCTGTCAGAGAAACTGCCAGATACACGCTACTGTACCGCATTACATTACGTTCCACCCTAAAATAAAATAAAAAATTACATAAAAAAAAAATGAAAAAAATTTTTTTTGTTACTTTTGTTACATGCTGTCGAATCATATTTCTTTATGTTCTCATCCATTGTTTCCATTTGATCGTGTCCAGGGACCAACAACGGGTCGTGCCTGAAATCAACAAACCACAAAAACATGGACAAACTTGAGCGTTTCACTTCCAACAACAGCGAGATCGATGACTTTATAACCCAGACGTTTGCAGGGAATGAATTGGATGCTGGGAAGCAGGGCTGCTGTTACAGGACGTGATTGAGAGCAGGAGCTCAGGGTCTCGGGGACGTTTGATTGGCCCATTAGAGGGGTGAAGGTTTCAGCATTCTGTCAGAGAGCGTTTCCATCCATCAGCCGCAGCTGCTGTTATGACTTTATTTTCAATCATTAGGCCATTAGAGCTGCAGACGCTCTCCTCACTTCCTCCGGCTCGCTGTCCATCAAATTTAATGCGCAGAATGACAGCAAAACCACACGGTCAGCAGCGCACCTCGCTGCGCCAGACGCCCGCTGTCAGAGAAACTGCCAGATACACGCTACTGTACCGCATTACATTACGTTCCAGCCTAAAATAAAATAAAAAATGACATAAAAAAAAAAAGAAAAAATATATGTATATATATATATATGTGTGTGTGTGTGTGTGTGTGTGTGCATGTATATATTCTGTTTATATATAAAATGCAGAACAATGTTAATTGTTCTAAAAAAATCAAATCTTCTTTAAATAATTCCCTTATTTCCGATTTGCGAGTGAAATGTGAGCAGGCCATGTTTTGGTGAGATTCAGTCTCAGCCGCTCCGGATGAATGTGATCTTCTGTCTGTAGGTGAGGTTTATCAGACGAGACCACTGACAGCACATCAATCTCTCTCACTGAATCTATACGGTTAGTGTTTCAGCACTCTATCCGATCCTCTCAGGGGCTTGATCTGTCAGCGCTGAACACATTCATACTGTCCTCGCCAGCACTTATTAATAACTGACCGCTCGGCTCATAGTGCTCAGGAAAGTCTGAGTGTGCCTCATTCGGGTCCTGTAGCTGCATACGGATCAGACCTGACACAAACACACTCACACACACAAATACAGCTGAAAGTCTGTGTGTCTGAAACACATCATCGGGATTATCATGGAAAACACAGATTCTGTAAACTGTGTAAATATCCTGGAAAGCAAATTTATCAAGACCAAATGAAGTGGAGTGTTTTTTTTGTTTAGTTTTTTTTTAGATCAGTGAGATTTATCAAAGTGTAATTTATATAAATTTTGAAATTTTATGTAATGATTTTGTTGCTACAATACCTATAT